ATTCTGGGTTATCTGATTTAGATTGACGTGGCAAACTAACAGTGATATCAGATTTTTCCCAGATAGTTATTACGGATGAAAGTAATCATTGAAACTCTACATCACAATTTTCTCTAATATCTTGAATATTATTTTGAACATTAGCAGCTTCTAATGCAGTCTTTCAATACCCTCCCCGACTATTAGTATACGCTTAAATTTGATGTTTTCACAGGAAATACCGGATTTTATAAAATATCCTTCAAAACATGTTGTATAACTGAACATCTAATCGCTTTTCGTTAGCAACGGTTTAACGTTGCTCACGGGTATAAACGAAATAACTTTGTGTATCCTAGCCCACCGACTTGCCACCTAAAGCAGTGTCGCACCAGTATCAGCTCTTTTTTTTTTAACTTTTACATACCCATTTTTTTTCATTTCATTACGGACTTATAATTGTTGTATAATTACGTATAATTGTATAGGTATCATTCGAGTTTTATTGCACGCGAAAAATGCAGACGCTGCAGGTACTTATCTCTCCGTATATTTAATATGCACGCGGTACACGATTATAAAATATATAGGTTTGTATAAATATAAATATCATCACAGTGTTGTACGTGTGCCTTGTGTATACTCCTATTATACGCATTGCATCAGTTAAGCAGAGGGTGCGTGTATCCGGGTGTGTTCGTCGTATCCAACACCAGGTCACCAGGTCAACTGCAGCAACATCATGTTTAGTACTCCCGTTCCGGTATACCTGTATAATAATAATAATAATATTATTATTACAATATCAGCTTTTACTGATTTTTTTTTCTCTCTTCTCCTTTTGCCCGACACATCCCACTCTCGTTTCCCGGTGTGTAGCACATTCGCACGAGCTCGTTCGTCCGTACAGCAGTCCACCTTATATTATTATTATATATTTTATACCGTGGACGAAGCGAAGAACGTATTGGTTTTACTTTGGACCGTGGCGATTAAATATTGCGCCCGGTACAAAACTTCAAAATCCGCTTTTATGAACTCTAATAATTTATAATGAAAACTCAAAACTGAAATATTTGTACAAACTAAATTCAAACAAGTGTAATAATTTTCCTTAGTCTCTCGCGTTTCATTTTTGGATGTTTTAAATTTCAAATTTAAGATTCGCAGCGGGGCGAGGGATCTATTGCAGTTAATTTTCCCGTCTGTAAACAACTTTTCGAAAATAAATCTTGCTCTGACGTGCACTCTATACGTCAGCATTAAAGAGGTAATTTTTTGATTTTCCGAGAGGTTTTCGAAATACATGGGAAAAATCCGAAAAAAATTATAGATGAAATAACAATTATTAACTGTGCGACGCTCCGCGGCGTTACCCATTTTTTTAAATTTATGCAACTTATGTTTTCTGTCAGAAATATTACTCCAATCGAAAAATGACACTAGATCGATTTTGATCCTTTTGACATATAGCCACTGATCGAGGTAGACATTTTTCGATACTTAAAGCATTTTTTATAATAATTGGGGAAAACCAAAAAAGGAAAAATACGATTTTTTTTTCAAAAACGGCATGGCGATTAAATTATTTAAAATTATGTTTTCTACCATAAATATTGCTCCAATAAAAAAAACGTCATTAATCTAATGACCAGGAAATTCGTTTGATGGTTTAATTATTTTTTAAATAATTGATTAAAACCGAAAAATATGTAGAAAGTGCGGGAAATTTGACGAAAATAATTATTTTATTATTTTCAATTTTCTTTTTTTTTTAATGTAATTTAATTAAAAATATTCGTAGAGGCTTCAATCAAAAGTTGACAAGAGACCTTTTATGTTGCATTTCAGATCTAATTTGTGCACTGAGGTCATTTTTTAATTTTTTGACAATGCGTATATTCAAAACTTTTTTACTTAAAACACTGGTATACGTTCCCAGAAACCTGTATACCTTGTTATTATTCGTTATTATTATATTCGCATATACGTTTTGTTTTTTCTTTAGTAATCAACTCTATTGTTGGTTTTACTTTACAGCGTTCTTCCATACTCTCTCCACTCTTCTCTGTCTTATTTATTATTAATTATTACCAAAACATTGTATATCGATGCTTGTTATCACAATGATTCAACGATGTGTGGAAACAGACAGCGACCTTTTTCTTTTTTCGCTACAAACTTTTGCTGATGACTAGGGCTCGGCTATGACTTTAATGCTCTTAAAAAGTACTAAATATCTATGCATTTCTAGAAATCTTGTTACAATCAAAAACTTTATAGAAACTTTATTACGCTATTTTTGAATAAGAACGTCCCTTATTATTATTATGACTTCTCCTATTATTATGACTATAAGGTCACTTATAAATGAGAAAACATGTTCATTTGTGCTAATTTCTGAGTTACCTACTTTAGCAATAAGGGAAAAAATGTGACTAATAAATAATAATACTTTGCTCAGAATCGTTTATTAGTAATGGTTTCATTAGTAATGGTTTACTTTATAACACTATTATAATGTAACTAATTCCGGACTGTTTCGATTAAATGGTGTACATCTGAAAGTAAATAAAGTTTTCGGTTTTCATCCATGTTCAATATAACTTTTTAAAGTAGTTAATTCTCCAGATGCACCCTATTCACTCCAGTCTTCGATTTGATGAACCTGAATCATTTACTTGCCACCTATTCTTGGCTCAGAGCTCTCAAGAAAAATTATACCTTTTAGCCCAGGGGCGTCTCTAGACCTCGACTTTGTTGGGGGGGATGTGTTGAAATAATAAAATTTAAAATTAATAATTGGTAAGAAAATACGGATATACTTCGCACAATGGATGGACCACTGTTATAGATGAGAAGTTGGGAAGGTAAGATATTGAGGTAATTTAATATATACCTGTACCTAAACTGCTCAGGGGGGTCTTCCAGTCTATTCCATGGAGAGGGAGACGAACAAATATTATTCTTGAGTACGTCATCGCTTTGGTCAACACAAATTTAAAACCTTTATGATTAATGCCATTTGAATTTATATTACCTTAAAAACAGTGGCCGTTTTACGGAGGGGGTCCAGGGGTTTTGGATCCGCCCAGACTCCGAGTTTAGACTTTGAATTAGTTTGACATTGAAAATTTAAAAAAAAAAAAAGAACGAAAATAATTGGCAAATTAATATGAGTTATAATTCTTTTTTTATACACGTCATAGTAATATATACATTACATGGAAAATATTATATATTTGAAACTGGAAAAAAAAACGGGAAAATTTAAGGAATATATTATTAGTAAAATATTACGATCTTTTTTTCTGTGGACAACTTTTTTACCAGCAATTTCGCACCAATTTACAATGATAGCACTAAAAGGAAATTGGATTGGGAAGGCACTTTGGCGAAGTTAATTTTTTGATTTTCTCGAGTTTTCTTAATAAATGGGAAAAACGGGAAAATAGATACGTTATTAAACAAATAATATTAAAGACTATATAATAAATACATAATGCATATGTAATTATTTTACCACAATATGACTTATATATTGTTGACAAAGCAACACTATCAATCAAATTCCGTTCAGTCTTTTTTTCGTTAGCAATGGTTAATCGTTGCTTACAGATATACATTAAATTACTTATAGCAGTGACTGCACCCGTCCCCATTATTATAGGGCAGCTTTTGAATTTTGTAAAATATAGGTTAGATTAGATTATGTTAGTAAAAAAAAATTATTTTTTCGGACAGTGAAAGTTGGGCAATTTAAATTAAATTAATGCGTGTTTAATGGGAAATATTTGTTTATGTTAAATATATAGGTAATATTGATAATGGACCTCCCCAAAAATAATTCCTAAAACCGTCATTGCTTAGAAAACTGCTTGGAAAATATATTATACAAATGCAGTATAACACAGCTAACAATGCTAACAATGTAAGTACACAATACAGTAAAAAAGTAAAATTTATTTTTTTCACATTAAATAAATAATAAATAAAATAATGATAATATGAATAATAAAAATAATAAAAATAATAATAATAAATAAAAGTTAGATGACCTTTGGACTTGGTCATACTTTTATTTTGATGAATATTTGATAGTGATAAGCCAGTTAGCCTCTGTTCAATTTCTTTTTTACCACAAGATACAATTTTTAATAAACCTCATGTAGTCATGTTTAATTCTCAAGCATTTCTGTTTGGTATAACAATTTTATTCACCAAATAAAAATTACGTACAAAACCCACAAAATTTAAAATGTCTATAAACTGCTCAAAAATTTGACCACGTCAAGAAAAGGCTAATTTAAGTTTTTTGTCCAAATTTTAAGTACATAAATATTTTTAACTGAATTACGACAAAAAACAAAATTGAAAATTATAAAAGCATTATTTTCATACATTTGTCCGTTTTCCTGATATTATGAAAATTGCTTGGTAATTTAAAAAATGACATTCCTAAAGTATCATCTAGTCAATATGATATTTTCTTTCAAAAAAAGTGCTACACTTATATATTGAAGCAAAAATTCTGGAAGAAATTTTTGTTACAGTGTAAAAAAAAAAAAAAACATCATTGTAAATCCAATAGGATTTCATTTTTCACTACGTGATTGTTCCCACATAATTCTATCTCACCATTGAGAAAATATTTATTGAAATTTATAAATGAGAAGTGTTTCATTCTCTTTTCAATCAGAGTATTTCCAATATCCAGAATCATCTTAATGGCATTTGTAGCTAGTTGCATACGTACTTAAGAATTATTGATATTTTGTATAACAAAAAAGAACATCATCAGGTTTATGGGGGGGGGGGACAATCACCCCTCCCACAGGGACATCCCTGTCATTTACTACCAATTGAGTGAATACATAAACATTTATATCATTGTGTAAGTTTATTAAAATAGAATTTTTTTTTTTTTTCATTTTCGAAAATATATTTCCTTTATTTACTTCCTATATTATACTGCACTAATATTGAAGGAAATATACATGCATATATGTATCTAAAATAACTGAAATATGTTCAAAAATCTTGATTCCTTAAATTTAAATTTTTAACAATATCTTTATATTTATAATTTTATTAATAGGTTTTTTAGAACACAATTTTTTTGTAATGTGTACTTCTTTTCCACCATCTTCTTTTTCTATGCAATGTAAATAAAGGTTTTGATTTTTCAATAACGTAAAAATAATGAAATTTCTATCTAATTGGAATAACAACAATAAACGCATTACACCAGACCTGCAGTAGGCAGTCCTTAACAGTACTTATGTTCATGGGTATTCTATTCATTAAATTATCATAAAATTGGGTGTGCATTATTACTTTTGAAGGGAACATTAATTCTTTCCCCCATTTATCAATCTAGTGAACGTCATTGAGTCCACTAATTTTTTTCAGGCATTTTCAGTAGTACTATAAATGAAAAAAAAATACATAACTATTTAAGTCAGAAATAAATACTCACATTTATTAGTTAATTAAACGATGATAATTATTTGTTATCTAAGTCATTAAGAGAGATAACCATACATAAAATAAAATACAAAAAAATATTATGTATTTTTTTTAACAATACTACTATTATTATATATTTATATTATTATAATATATTGCCAAACAAATAATCATAATAAATAAATAAAAAAAAATCAGGCTTTTCAAAGGAATAATTAAAAGTCACATAGGACTTTATATATTTAAATGTTAAGTTACTCTAGATACAGATCAAACATCAAATATTATTTTATCCTTATTGATTTCAATAAATGTATAGGTATGAACCATAAAGACACGAGTAAATTTACCACTAATCTACAATAATTGTGAATTATAATATTCACTATAATATGTTTAAATACATTAATAAATATATGAAATATATATGATATAAATATTTTTAGTACAATATTAAAAACAGCGGAGAAAAAATAATATTCATATCCTTTCTTGTAAAAACTAAACAGTCTACATTTTCAATTGTCTGTCATTTCGCCGTTACACGATGACTAGTTTTACGTTAAATTGACAACACAGAAAAATAATAAAAAAATATAATATAGCGAATGATTTGCAGTTGAAAATAACGATCAATTATTTTAAACTGAACATTATTTGTCCACATTAATCATTTGACAAACTGCATTAAATCTATTTTATCTTAATTGTATAATATATAGAAAGGTTAGAGAATTAAAATATTACTTATAATATTTACAAGACAAAATATAGAAAAAAGGGGGTAATAGCTAATGTTTTTGTTTTTAAATCAATACTATATACAAAGTATATAAGGGTAAAATTATAATATAATATGAGTATTAATTATCGTCTAGTCTTTATACAACAAATTGGAAAAGTGTACTTATAATTGAGAGTAAAAAAATTATACAATAATAATAATAAAAAAAAATGATCACAATGAATAAATAAGGCAGTATTTTGAAGGAATGAGACAATAGTGATGTGTTTTTTTTTCTCTTTGAGCGCAACAGCGACATGAATTTTTGTAAAATTAACATTTAACAAAAAAATAATTTTATAATGATAAAGAGAGCAATTATTTGGGTAGATTTAAGTCAACTAAGTAATTTCAATTTTATATTAAATAATAATGGGGTCACAACAGTTTGAATTCTAGTCAGTTCTCGATATTTGTAAGGTTTCTCTCTCTTTGTAAGGTTATATTGTGATGAATAAAAATTATGGATAATTTAAGATGACTGAGACTCGGGGGGAGCTCTGAAAAAAAAAATTCACAACATAAATACATTATAACATTAGGCATTATATTATTTTAAAGGCCAAATTTATTTCACTAGTTTTGTTTTGATAGCAACAGCAGAAAAATACAGTTACAAACTTTGACCATTAAGTTGTAATTATAGTTCATAAACATATTGGAAAAAGTAATTCATTTATGGTTGTTAGGAATTAAATCAAAGATATAAAATAAAAATAGCGGTAAAAAAGAAGGGAATGTGTGATATAATTAAGCTGGATAGGATTATTAATGAATACATAAGTAGTAGTTAAAGCGGAAAAAATGAGAAAATAGATTGTGATGGTATTGGGACATGTTGAAAGGAAGAGAAATAATGAGATAGTTATCAAGCAGATAAGGGAATGTGGAATTAATGAAAGTAATGTTGATGGACAAGAAGACGTAGATGGCAAAAATAAGATTAGCTCACCCATCATGAGAGATATAGGCTTTTTTTTTTTTAATCGAATAATATTTAAATTGTTTACAAAACTATTTAGAACATTAAATATTAATACATTGAGGGGAAAAAAAATTAGCTTATATTTATTCTATTGCTTATTACCAAATAGATAGACCAAAGAGAATACATTTTATTTTTGTGCTTTTTACAAACTATTTTGAGTACTATATAAATATAATTCTACAATTAAAAAATGTAATACTAAAAATTAATCACTGTGAAAAACAAATTTGCAATTAAATCAACTCACCCCGGTGGTCCAGAAGGTCCAGGATAGTAATATGGCGGTGGACGTTCATATTCAGATGAGATCGGATTTTGATAATGAGGCGGTCCTCCATTAGGGAAATCCCAGGTTGGTCTTAAAATTCAAAATTATAATAATAAACAAAAATTAATTTTTGTCAAGTCATTAATATTTTGAATTAGTTATATATTATTAAACCTATTCTTAAGATTGTGCCTTCATTACAAAATATATAAGAGAACTAAAAAATACCATTGAAGTAGAAAATTATAAGATATTATAGAAAAAATATAATTTAAAATCAAAAAAATTGTAAATAAATTTAAATAAATTGTATGCTTTGATAGTATAAATATTTTAAATTATGTTTTTGACAATAAATCAAATAGTTTACTTATATTTGAGGTGTTTAAAACTTACTTTGGTACTGTTGTTTCAGGCAAAGCTCCAGAAGGACTGGTAGTCTGCACTAAAATATTAGCTCTCCCAAGATGTGCACTATAGTCTACTGATCCGCCATGTCCAGGATGACGACTCTCATTTGCTGAAGTGCATCCAGTAATTTCCGGGTTTGACATATTTTCATAGCCTACTGGCACACTCGATGATCGATTTCCACATGGAGGTGCGGTTGTTACTTTTTTACGTGGTTTATTCCGTACGTTTTTTTTCTTATGATTTGCACTAAATACATAAAAATACATCATTTTAAAATTAAATAACAAAAAAAAGTAGCAGTATTCTAATAAGCATTAATAATAAATATAAAAACTGAACATAACATTCTCAACTTTTTCAATATTAAGACCAATTATGTGTGATCGTATTGCATCACAACTAATAAAAAATATTATACAAATGTTCTATACCTTGTTAATGGAATATTCTCACGGTCATAATATTCTCTAAAATGCAAAAATAAACACAGGTTACAATTTCAATTAATTAATAGTTTACAACTGGCACTTACGCTTCAACCAATGGCCCTGGATATGGCTCGGATTTCTGATAGAGCGAAGCCAATTTCACACAAAGAATTATGATGGGCATAAACAGTATAGAACAAATACCGACACTCATCCAAAAACCATTCTAAAATAACAAAAAAAATAAATATTAATCTTGATAATAATTCATAATTATATTGGGTTGAAATTATAGTTTTAGAACACAGTGAAATTTTTTAAGACGGTACACATGCATTTTTTATTTCAGTCTTACAAACTTATGATATAGTAAAAACATATTAATAATAATATTATTGTCTGTAAATGTAAATTTCATAAATTTTTATCAAAAGTAAACTGCAAACCTACTTATGAACTAATCGTTTAGCCAATAGATTCAACTGTACTATTTCTTATATTTATTACTCACATAAGGATTTAATATTTTTTTGCATCCAGAAACAATAGTTGCATTGTAAGCTTGCGACATTGGCCAACATTTACCAACATCTTCTTTAATCTGAGTAACAATTCTTTGTAAGTATTGATCTATATGTTTATTGAATTCTTCTCCAAATTCTTTTGCTAACTAGAAAACAATAACAGTAATACATTTTAAATATTGTTACAAATTATTATTTGTTTATTACTATTTGAACATAATACAATAAGCACTTATAACTTAAAGGTTAACATGTTCAATATCTATTCAACTTACTTTGGTAACTATAGTGGGGCCTTCAGTATATAAGTATTTTTGAGCTTGTTCGACTTCGATCAAAAGATGTTCAACAGCATGGCGTAATGAAGTATGATTAAAACGCAAATGTTCCTGAAGCTGAATGGCAGTAGACTCTAATCGTTGACTAATTTCTAGCATAGCAGCGACATGCTGTCCTTGATGCACTTTTAGATAGATTGCTTGGTTTGTAAGTGAAAATTTAATCTAAAAATATAATTTAATAATTATATAAATAAAGACCTGCACAATTTAAATAATTATTGAAGTTTTAAAAAGAAAATATTTACTTCTGATTTAGATGATGGCAATTGAGAAGCTGTTTGATTAAGTGCGTCAGCGAGTTGAATCAAATCAATAGATGTTATTTTTTCCCCGAGCTATATTTGAAATAAATATTGTTTTCCATTATTAAAAAAGAATGTTGAATAATAATTTAAAATAAAAACAAACCCTCAAATTATAACTTACTACATGAGTGTAAGCTGGAAAATTGATGCTAGATAAAGGAGATTTAGCCAACTTTAACAACTGTTTTTCTGCTTCAGCAGTTAAAATTACTATTTCTCCTTCTAATTTTATTTTTGATACCAAATTATTGATATGCTTGTCAATATCGAATGCAGTAGGATAATCAAAAAATTTGTTAAGATTAATGTATCTCTCCATTTTCAAAACTTGGAATAAACTCATGTTACGATGGCAGTCTCTGTAAATTATTATTTTTATTTTTATTTTGTCAAGTATTAACTAACTTACATTTATATTTTTGTTTATATTCAAATTTACCGAATTATTGAACTAATATTAAAATCTGTATTATCTGGTTGTTGTCTGATATTCAATTGATAAACATTAGACTCGTGTACTTTAGAAACGTCATACAAACGATTTACTATGTTTAAAACCCTAGAAGGTGTAGGATTTTGCAATGGTTCACATATAATACGGTCTGTGGTGACTCCAGTGACAAAATAAAATAAGGCGATGATCATCAAAAATGCCGACGACAAAAACATTAACCATACAGCCCTAAGCAAAACAATATTATAACAATTATTGTGTAATTTTTGATAAAATTTAAATATATTTTAAAACATACATCATTAAATAAGAAGAGCCCGTTCCTTTGTTACAACAATCGTCATGATATCCACCTTCAGGTCGGCTACCACAGAAACCACAGAATAACCCAAGCGTCAGGAACATCAAAATCAAAAACAGTGTAATTGCTACACCCAAACAGACATAGTATCTAAAATATAAACAATTATTAATAAAATATTAATTCAAAAGAGTGCAAATTAATTACCGATAAGGAGAAAATTCTTTTAAAAGACCTTCTCCTCGTTGCATTGGAGAATATGATTCAACAATAGTAGAATCCATACGATCAATGATTTTGTCAACTTTTACACAATGTTCTTTAATTGCATTTCCCACCTTTCTGATATTCTGTTTTATTTCAGGAATATTATCATTGACAGCATTCTGTATTATTGTTTTAATCTTCTCGAATTGTTGTTGGCCCTTCATTACTTCTACTTCGATATCGGTCGTAATGAGATCAGATATATTTTTCAAGCTAGCAGTTACGTTCGGCAACTATAAAAATAATTTTACATATAAAAAATTATAATAATTGTATTAATAATCCTTAAAGTTTTCAGTTTCAATTTATCTAAAAAGTATATTTGTAATATAGAGATGTAATAATAATTACATAAGATATACAAACTATTACAATTAAGCTACAAATATCTGATAGCCTACCTTTGGTAAATCATTATCTAATATCTATCCACGGTAAGCAAAAAATTAATACATTTCAATATATTATAATTTTATGTTGAAAATAATAACAATATAGTTCTTAGATATTGATTATTTTGCTTACCATACTGAAGTTTGCTTCTAAAGAAAGATCTTCGATGTTATATCGGTTTAAAATATCACGACAAGTACGTTCAAATTTGCAAGACTCCAATTTTCTCATTATAATTGTTCGACATTCCTTTAAAGCTTTAATTATAAACAGAACAAAATCAATTAATAATATTATTTTTAAGGTTGACAGTAATTAAAATATTGTAGTGAAATTGGTATGTACCAGCATCTAATTGCAATGCAGTTTCTTGTAATTGACGGGTTAATAAATCTACATTAGAGAGATCTTGTTTGATTAGCCCTAGTCCATTTACAACAGCAGTTAAATTAGATAAAACTGACGCTTTAGAAACATCTCCAAGTTTTTTCTTAACAATTTCGCCACTAGCTGTAACATTAAAATATATATATTTTTAAAACTTAAATTATATTGCTTTAAAAATTAACAATTTCGCAACTAGTTGTAACATATTAAAATAGATAATTTTAAAACTTAAATTGTATTATTATTTAATATTTAAAAATAACACTTATTTTACCTTCTAATATATTGGATAATGTTTCTTCCAATTCATCGAAGTTTACAACTAACAGATTATCAACTTCCTAAAGATGTTAAACACAATTTAGCATATTATATTCATAGTTATTAAATTTGATTTCTTACTTGTTTTGTATTATTTAAGAATAGTCTGGTGTCATTTAAGGATTTCTTAACATTAGATGGCAATTCTTTCACACCATCTTCTAAATACTCATTACTCACAAAAGCACAAACTACACCAAATCTAAAAAATACAAATAATAAAAGTTCATAAATGATTAATACCAAAATATAGTATATCTAAAACAAATATTCACTGTTATTAGAGAAGAATATTCATCAGTTTCAGATTATTATTCATATAAATGCCATAAACAGTGAACACATAGTATATTAACAAAATAATACAAGGGTTCTTTCAAATATTAAAAGTATAACAAAAAAACACACAACTTACGATATTAATATAGTGAGTCCAGCTAGTAATATACCATAAATTTGTCTCCTGCATGAATCATATTTAGCGTCAAATGGTTGAGACCGAGAACCACAACCTCCGGCACAGCGACAACAGCACAATGTTAGACCGATAAGAGGCATTAAAACGGCGAATACTAGTCCAGCGACTAATACAGACGCACTTGCCCAGTAATGGCTCACTAATGTCGGCCATTGTTGAGACAAATAATCTACTTGGATCGTATTGCCATCCTCAACTTCTACAAATCCTGAAAATAAATAAAAACACGAGATATTATAACTATAACTATAGTAATTTATGAATGATTATTCCAATAAAGGATACCCGCTATACTCAAAAATATTAAAATAAATAACAGTACACAAATATTTCAACATTTTCCTAAAACCCTAAATACGTATAGATATCTAATTCGACACATTTTCTTCCGTCCATAAATTGTGTTTCTATAAAAGATTTTTTTTTTTTTTTATTAACACTTTAAACCAGCGTTTCTCAACCAGGGGAACACCTTGACTAGGGGTCGCGCAGGTCAAAAATAATAAAACGCTGATTTACAAAATGTACCTTTTTATTTAAATATTTTCATGACACTGTTTCATAACACACAAAAATAATATTAAAAATAACAATAATAAGCAGTCGATTAAATGTAGATATCTCATCAATAAAAAGGGTACTACTCCACTAATGGAAATTCCTAACGACCCGATACAAACTTAATAAGCTTAAGTTACTAGATATGGTATTTATAAAATGGTATTTAAAATGTTATATTTTGTTTGGTTAATGATAGGATATTTTTACTGTTTAAAATTTTACTTAACCTAGATGGAGGGGGGGGGTTCGCGAAGTGATTGACTATATTTTATACCTGTTTTGGGGGTCGCGACACTAAAAAGGTTGAGAAACGATGGTGTAGACAATGATAGTGGTAAGGAGATTGCGGCTTTTGCTGCGAGGTCAGCGAGCTCATTTTCTTTTATGTTACAATGTCCAGGAATCCAAAAAAGTTTGACTTTGTAGTTGTTTTTGTTTTGGAGGGTGTAGCATTAATATTATAACAAAGAATAAATATACAATCAATTAATTCGAAACATAATTATACTTTATGACCGCAAAATAAAAATAATGATAAAGTTATTTAATTGCCCGAGTTTTTTTTTTATCTAATAATTTTACAAAACTATTTACATAAATCACGGTATTACTAATAAATATGAACATCATAGTATCTAATACAACCTCGCCCTTCATACCACAGTTTGCTTTGCTAGTATGGTTTTCTTTATCACATTGAAAATAACTATAATCTTTGAACTAGAAAATGTATTTTCAAAAACAAATTCTCNGGGGGGGGGGGGGGTTCGCGAAGTGATTGACTATATTTTATACCTATTTTGGGGGTCACGACCTAAAAAGGTTGAGAGACGATGCTTTAAACCAATCGAGTTCATTTTTTCAAAAAAAATTTTAAGTCCAAGCATCAACAAATATGAACATCTTCCACCCTTCAAAAAAAAAAAAAATACTTTTCCAAGTGGATTATAAACACAACATCTTCATGAACGCATTCAAAATGTATTATTTTTTTATTTTTATTTTTGTTTTGTTACACTACATAAAAATGTTTTAAAATAAAAAATAAAACAAGGATTTACGCTCCAACGCTCAACTTATTAATTTACGTGCATTTTAATTGTTCACGTTTCGAGGTTTTTTTTTTTTATGTTTCCAGTTCACAACTACACACTCGAATACCCGATAGCAGCACGACATTGAGTAATTTACGCCACAAACATATACGATGACAGTATGTGTGACGGTAGTGTCGGTGTGTGTTCACTGCACCCTGTTCTAATGACATTTTTTTTTTTGTGGTCACAGAACTATAATACAAGTACCTAATACCTGTTTATAGTCGTTATATTTCCACTACGACAAATAAAAGATTAAATCGGAGAACGCATTCCGGGCTAGAACAAAAACAAATGTTTTCGTCCAACTATATTCCTACATAATTTAGACACGGAGTGTATACAAATTTTCCTATGCTACTATTTAAAATTCAGCGGGTTTAAATTGAAAACAAAATGGATCAATTCGTTCGCATAATCGAAAAAAACATTTTAGATCTCGTATGTTTCTCTACAGTATTTCTTACCGAATTACAAAAAAATAACGGTTCGGCAGGAAAACCTATTCGCGGACAAAAAAAATAAGAATCTGAAAACAAATTCGACATGTTGTAATATATGCAAGCCGAATTTGTAATTACAAATGTATTTTTCGAATGTCACCCGTTCTAGGAAAATATATCCTGCACTAGCCATGTTCTTCTAAATGGTCGCGATTCGTTTGAAATTATTACCTATTCTAACGCAGAGTTGTGATTTCTAAAGAAAAAAAAAACCGCCCAGAATTTCGATCCGCACACGTTTATGACGATTACGGGGGAGCAGTGCGGCACACGTCGCAAGAGTCGTGAAATTTAACGGGGCCGCATAGAGGAGCCTAGCGAACGTGTAGAAAATCGATTAGGCTCACAAAAAACGCACAAGTGCAGTACCTTATATTACGCATAATAATATATTCCGTGGCGGGTAATTGTTACCAAAAGTCGGAATAGTTTTCACTATATTAGACGTGTACGTATCTATCAGCTGTAGTCTCGATCCCGTACAATAACGGACTAAAACGCGCAAACCGAGAGGAGAAAAAAACCCGAAAAAAAATATACACAATTAACTGAATTATCCATTCGAAAATTACGTACTATAGGTATACACTATAGGTACACGCATTATTTTGTCGTGCGAGGTGGTCACGGTCGAATTTGCTACGCACGTTTATTCAAAAAAAAAAACCACGACGACCGCCGAAGAAATTCTCTTGCCCGGAAAGAGGTACTTGAACCCGACAAAAACAAATGTTTGATATTATTACATTATTATAGTACAATATGCACGTTGCTTTTTTGATCGGCAATTACTCGTCTTGTCCAGCGTGGTATAATACTTATGCATAATATATTGTATTAAAATTATACGTAAACCTTACACAAACAAATTTAAAAAAAAAACACACACGTAACAGGCACGCGTGTGTGCCAGATATAGGGGGCGTTTGTTAGATGATAACATTTTTATCATAAACAATCATTTGTCAAAAGGCAATTTTATGTGAACGGATTTTTCACAATAACTATATGTATCGTTCGGATACCTTTCAAAACGTATACTTTTTATAATGAATAATTTTCATCGACTCTATTTGATTCGAAGTAAATTTTACCTATACATAAACACCAATAAATGTGTACACCCTACGAGATCGCATGGCCACGCGCCACCTGCGTACAAATAAAAATACGATTTTCAACAATTTTGTACTCGAATAATATACCCGTTAATATTTTTAAATATTTCCACTGTAAACATATAATATAACATAGACAAATATTTATTATTTCCTAGGTTACATATACAAATATATTAATCGTTTAATATAATTTAATTAAAATAAATTATTATTAAATTAAATTAAATAATTTAATAATATGCAATCGGTCTTATAAGCTGAATTTACGCGAGTGTCCAATCGATCGATCGAATTATAATCCAATAATCAATAGATATTATAATTTAACAAACCCGGTTTTATTTAACACGATGGATAAATTATTCCGTTGAACGATAGTTTGAATGAACGGTAAGACGGGTTGATTTAATGAATGTGTGCGGTTTTAAGTCAATAGCAGCGTTTACTTTTCACTATTCACTTACCGTTCACTATAATATTATGCAGGATGTGTCAACACTGATATTGAATGAAAGCATAGTATAAAAACCTACTTCGTTCAATGTGCAATAATAACGACGTGCAATAATATTGAATGAGAGCGCATATATATTATTTGAATTCAATTTATATACGATATACGAGTAGTTTTCAATAATATTTATATTATTATTATTATTATTATTATTATTATTATATATTATTTATATTATTATCACCCCAACATTGATTACAACTGAACTGACTAGTGTAAACTGAACAGAATAGGCACTGAACAATATAGGTTTATTAAAGTAAACAAATATTAGTTTAACGTAGTTTTAATATATTTTACAATTGTTGTTTTAGGAGGACGCAATAACCTACATTTGCTGTCTTCTCTTACAAACGTATATGTCATGACAAATTTACGTTCAGCGGGGAAAACTTTGCGTTGGTAGTTTATTCTGTAACATGAATTACAGTGAATTGATCAATGATCAAACTTAAAGATGCATATAAGAATGCATATTATCTGTGCAACGTTGGCGCTATTATTTTTCGATATTTGTATGCGAGATTAAACTGTGATATTTAACGTGCTCACAGCAATCGCGTAAAAATTTAAATATCGAAAAATGGCGCCGACGTAAGAAGTATGATCATACTACTGACGTACAGCTGGAGCTAAAACTAACTGCACAATGCTGTCCTTGCTGAACGCAAATTTCCTACGTCGTACGTTTGTAAGACGGAGACAACACATAAGGGTATTACGCCCTCTTAATGATAATGCAGGTATACTATTATTTTGTTGAATTAACATTTTTAAATGATAAGGAAAATGAAAAATTCGGTTGTTATATTTATTATGGACATCCAAGAGCGAGAATGCGGGAAAATCAACGGTGTGGGTCACTGCTTGTACGTTAAAATAAAAACCTTATCATATTTTTGTATTCCAGTTGTTATGATAAAAAATGTTAAATTGAAAATCGGTAATAAAAGTTTAGATGAATCTGTTTACCTAGGGCTATGCTAGAAGTTTAGAAGGGGTCAGTTGTGTATTGATTACCGCCAGTAAATTAGATTTCACATGAAAATTATCAAAATTCGCTATGACCTCGAAATTTGGTACCAGGAGTTCAGAAGATGTCTGCTTCTGTGATCCCATTACAGTATTTTTAGTTTTTTTATGTCCACATGTTCACTGTTTTTTTTTATTACTGCATAGTTAAAAATATATAATATATAATACATAGAAAATATATATATATTTTAGGTTTTAATAATTTTGGGGATGAGTAAATGTCATGACCCGGTCATATTAAGGATTCCGCGGGCTGAAAATTCATTTAAGTTTGTCCCTGGGACATCTTAAAATTAATATTCTTTTAAAGGTTAGGTACTAACACAATAATTATTACCCATATGGAATATGCTCTAAAGTTCACATTTAAACCACAAAGACGATATTCCTTTAGTAATATACAAGTATCAACCTATATATATAAACTAACCTAAAATAATTAGAGAACGGATTTATAATATATCAATGCATATTTTTCAAGTTTTCGCACGTACTTTTAATTTTAGTTAATATGTTTGATGCAACTAACACATTTTTATTTCCAGTAATATGAATCCATTAAAATATTCATATTTGGAAAGGAAAAAACTATTTTAAAATCGTACACCTAAATAACAATAATTGAATGAAAACCGAATCACTTTTTAAAAACGCGGGACGATTTTTTTTGTGAATTGAAAATGCCAGTTTAAGAAAAACAACGAACTTTAAGCTATTGATATAATATACTCTCATTCTATTCGTATCGGCTATGAAATTACGAAAAACAATGTATATTATTAGTGTTACGATTTAAAATATTGCAAATAGATTTAGCATGTACTTCAAAATGAATACATATTTTAATAACATATTTTTTGATGATGATTGCATAAAAAATATTATTCAATTTGCAACAATAAAATTGCAAAAATAACCAAATAAAAAATGATATTATTGGTCAATAAAAATCATCATATCGGGTACAATATAGACGAAAAAAGATAACTTTCAAAACGTCCACTTGTAAACGCACACGAACACAAACTACAAATACTCGAGGCTGAATTTTTACTTTCTTTATTTAATGCACAAATCGTTAAACATTTAAATACATATTTGTACTAATAGGTTTTTCCATACATGACGCACAATATAAATATGTTCTCTTATATATAATAATAATATAAATCAATAAATATATACAATACATCAGAATATATCGAGGGGTCTAGTATTAAAGGAACGTAACAACCAAAAATGATATTTTGATTATTAGCTTATAATATTCAGATTTTAAAGTAGTTTTTAGTAGTAGAACGACGTATCTCCAATGATACTGGATGGACATCCTTTTTTTTTACATTAAACATATCAATGAGTAACAAAAAAATATTAATATTAAACAAATGTGTTATATTTTACGTAGGTTTAATGTTTTAATTTCATAATTGGTCGATACGTTCCTATATACTAGACCTTCAATATTATAGCAAAACAAACAATGTTCAATCGTATATTATTAAGTATAATAAATTGTACGGCGACTATAAATATAAATATATATTATAATATATAGTTGATTTGATTGTAGCGACGATATTATTTGTTTTTATAATTCGTGTTTAATAATATTTGAATAAATATTAACTGGATACGATTATTAGTATTTATTATGCGGGGACGTTTTTTATTTGCGGATTAATTTTTCTTTACTTTAATTTATAGGAGAAAAAAAACCCCGCTATAATAGTAATATAATAATTGCAACAGTCGCGTCGCTCAATTGACAGTGCACCCCATAAAAACGTCCGCCGTTTACTAGACTAATAAAATAATAATTTATATGACTCCTGCATCACAATTCACAATATCATAGCGTTCAATTTTGAAGTTCTATAATATTATAAAGGACAAAAAAAAATAATTAGACGTTATTAAACCTTGCACTTTAGACGAACAGTCTATACGAAATAACAACCGTCACGACGACGTAATAAATCCTATTTCAATATAATCGTAATGTAGTTTAATTCATAAAAAAAAAAAAATAATTGAAATAAAAAACAAAGGGACCATGTTATTTGACGGATTTCCGTAAAGACGATTTATCAACGTTTATTGCAATGAAACAGTACAAGTCGATAATAATATTCGATATAATATTATTCGATTATTACGTAAAATAAACGGTGATAATATACATAATTAATGCGTTATCTGGCTGAAATTTGATCTTATAAAATTTAATTAAACCAAGGAAAAAACAGTTAGAGATTCAGATATTAATATTGCTTAGTTGACAATACTTTTTTTTTTTTTTACAAATTGAAATAATTGAACGATATGATAAAAAAAGAATATCAACAAATATTGTAGCAAAACAAAATACATTTATTTTTATCCGTTGGCTAACAAATCGTGTTACAGCTGCAACAGCATTGCGTTTAAGTTTAAAAAGAAAAGAAGAAACTAAAAATAATTATGCAATCTCAATAATACGCATAAACGCATAATTATCAATAACATAAAATATATAATTCTGAATAATCGGTAGAATAACCAGTTTTACTGTATTATGTTGTAATTTTTACAAAATTCGGCAAGTTAACCGATTTTGTTTTAATTATAACAAATTATCAACAAATAAAAATGTTAAAAGGTAATTTACAGTTTAAAGTTCAGTTACATATTTTCAGGAAAACAATAAATTGAAAGTAAGAAAATATTTAATTTTTAATTACCATTGACTATACTTAAACGCATTTTGTACTTAACGTATGGAAAATTAAAATAAAAGTCAGTAGTTTTAGTATAACGTATAATCACTTAATAAATAATACACTTGTCTTGTTGAAAATTTCAAATAGTTGAAAATGAATGGAAAAAACATATTAAGTACAATAAGTTTTGTAAATAACTTACACCTTAATAATAAAATGGCTAAATCAAGTTAAAATTATTAACAGAAATAATTAAAAAAAAATGACGGACATAATTTTCACGATGGATCACTATTATAAGTTTGAATTTGGGAAGGTAGAATATGAAGGGGAATTTGATATTAAAATTCTTATAAAAAATTTGTTTTATATTACTCGACTGTTTTCACAAAGTAAAATTTATAATGCATTTGTTTGGTCAAACAATTTTATCCATAGAATAACCACTAAATACAAACTTTCGAAATTAAAATGTCTTTAAATAGTTCAAAAATATTTAAGCTATTTTTGAACATTTTACAGCATTTTACACCAAATTTCAAGTCCCAACGAATATTTTTAACCGAATCACAATAAAAAAACAAAATCGAAAATAATACATTTCGTAAATTTTAACGATTTTTATCATTTATTAAGTAACCCTTAAGGAAAATCAAAAAATTATCCCCCTAAATTTCCTATCAGAAAATCGGAAAATGTTATTTTTTAAAATTCAACTCTTATGTAACTAATCAAGAAAAAAAAAATAACTTTCAACCATAGTTACTTTGCTTTGGTAAATATTTCGACATCTTCACGGATATAATATTATATTGTAACTGTTTGTTAGATATTCATTACATATTATGACTAGGAGTTCCAGTAATAAATACGATATACCTATACTAAATAATAGAAAACAACACGACACACAATGATGAAAAGACTGGTACGTGTTATACTAAGAAATGCAATTTCGTCGTTATGTTATTATCTGGTTTTTTTTTTTTTTGATTTCCGGATTATAACGAAATCGAGTATTAAAAAATTCTTCGTATACTCGTCGATATTGCGCAGCATGATGGTGTCCCCGTTTAGACGCTTATTATAATGAACTCGATTTATGTATTTTTTCTACAGTTTATAACATTACGGTTTAATAATTTGTTAGGTGAATAATAAAATATGACTTATAGGCCACTGAGAGTTATGTAAAAAAACTTTTTTTTTTTTTACATAATTTCCAACATTTCAGTGTATCTACAAAAATAGTTTTTAAAGTGCAACGATCATTAAATATAATATTACCGTAAATATAAATCACCGGTATGAAAATATTATATAAATATAATACTGTTAATTGGTATATTATATTATATTATTATTACTGTCTGTACCCAATTCCAATATAACGACACAGGTTTTAAAAATGTAAAAAATAATAATAAGTAATTTAGGTTTCAATCGGTTTAAAATTAAGTGAACTTTAGTCGTGGACTCGTATACAGATTGCAGCAGTATTCAAACGTGTCTACAGTATAGGTATTTCTAGGTATCGAGAGTTCGAGACACACGAATAATGATAGCTGATCGGTGTATGTAGCTTTGACCTTAATCCGAGTTAGTCAGGTGGATTTCCTTTTACTATCACCACAACATATTATTCAAACTATGCTTCAAAAACCGTAGAAGAACTGTACAGTATTATATACATGCATTCATGCATATTATAATAATATATAAATGATTACGTATTACGTTCAAGCGATTTTAACTACGTGAAATTTTTAGACTAAATATTGCCCGAAATATAATGAAAATATTTATTAGATATTTTTACCAGAATGAGTTAAAATTAAATGACAAAAACACACACATACTATAGATAGAAATATATTTCACCGATTTACTTTCGAGAACCGAAATGTAGTATTTTGTTACACGAAGGTTATATATTTTTAGGATACTTGGCAATAATTATTTAAATGCGCATATTACAGGTATTTAATAAGGTACTTTGTAAGACGTTTTCATTGTACAAATAGAACATATATTTAAAAAAAAAACTATAGCCGGATGTCATTTCATGTGGAAAAAACAAAAAAAACTAATAAAATCGATTGCGGCAAAAAATACAAAGTTTTGTTATTATATAAAATGCTGTTCGATTTTTATTTTATTACCAAACGGAATAATTCTAATTAAATTAATGAATTAACGAATTAAATATTAACCGTGTAAAACAAATATGCGATATAATATTGTTTTATAAAAGATAAAATTATTTGAAAAGTATTATAAATGCAAAATATCAATAAAATATTGCAAACAAATGAACAATATGCAGACATTTGTAAAACGTTAAATTATCCTTTTTTTTTTCTCCGAGATTTTATATCTGATAATACTACGAACCGAACTACGATAATAACATTATCAATTCTAGAGATAAAAGTCATGATTGATAAATAATATTATATTACTAGATGTCCCGCACCCGGCATTGCCCGTGCCAATTTGAATTATTATTATTTTACCCATATTTATTTTTGGTTTTGGACGTGTTACGAATTGAATGAAAGCAAATAGGTGTAACACAAATTAAAACATTTTTTTATTCATTAAATTATTTGACGTTACTTGTGTATGTATAAGCGAAAATACTAAAATCACGATTAAAAAATAGTGGGTGGAGGTAGAAGGGTGAAAAATACTTTACGGCCTATTCTCAGACCAACCAAATATACAAAAAAAATTTCATAAAAATCGGTCAAGCTGTTTCGGAGAAGATCAATAACAAATACTATGACCTGAGAATTTTATACATAATATATAATTAACACGAACATAATGTTCGTGTTAAACATGAGTAATCAGTAAAACATTGAATATTACAATTTATAATTAATTATTATTATTGAAATATTACGTTATCACATTAAAACTAAGGTTATGTCAAACAACACAACAGAGTGACTCTAAATTCAAGTTTAGAACAAGTAAACAGCTATGAATACCTAAAAAGTTTCATCACCCGAGATAGCAAGAGCACTAAGTAAATTAAAGCTAAGATAACAGGCGAAACCCGCATTTATGAATCCCAAGAAATTACCATGCTCCGAGAAGATGAGTCACAAAAGTCTTTGTGTGGAGCGTGGCTCTAAGGTCTATACGGATCATCAGGGACTTGGTTGATAAACAACGCAGAAAAAAGATATTTGAAAAGTTTCAAAATGTGGTGCTGGCGGAGGTTGCTGCGGAGTTTCGTACCGATGATAGTGTACAGAATTTTAGAAGGACAAGTTGAAGGCAAAAGAGGCAGAGATCGTCCTAAAACAACGATAATTAATACAATTATTAAAGATGCCGGACTGAGAAGAGCGGAAATTGCATGGAAGAACGATGTAAAACTAACCTTAAGGTTGATTACCATAGAAGATTACGTTATTATCAAATATATAATGTAAATATTATAATAATTTTATCTATATATTGCAGACACGTGTTTTATTAATTTTATTCTGAATTTTATTGTTGTTCACGAATAACGAATAAAATAATTACATCATCATCGTCATAGTATACGGGCTACAATATAAAATATAATGAATAGTAAAACGTTTTCTACGTACTAAAATAATAATTATCCAAGTAAACAAGATATAGATATAATTATATGCATTTCTAAAGATCAAAGCAATAAATAAAACACGTATATATTGTACTATAGTATATTATAATTTTTAATATTCAATACGATTGGCCGGCGGTGGTAGTGACGAAAAAACACAATACTGCAGAGCGGAGATGAATAAAGAACATTATCATCGGAGAGTTCGTTATACCCGATGAGTCACTTTTGATAACTCCAGCGACCCGTTACAACGACGCGCCACGGTCGCTTCTATTATTTCGCTTCGCGTATATTATAATATTTTTTTTTTCATGAATAGCGAACCGGCAACCATATAATAATAACAATATAATATAATTTAATAGCTAGATAATAGTTATGTTTACCGTGGTAGTCATAACGTAAAAATAATACATAACATTATACTCGTGTATGTTATACACGAGTATATTATTCGCACCGCAGTCACACAAAGACGAGGAAAAAATAATAGATAATTAACAAAAATCAAACAAAAAAAAAATTATGAACGTGGGGTAAACTGTTGAAAATTTCAATAAATGTTCCAAATAAAGTACAATCGGATAGAAATTCCAGCAAAAATAATACATTATCACCCTTCTAATAATAATATACATACCTATAAATTTCATATTCTGCAGACAAAGAATATGCTTCTAAATATTATATATATATTATAATGACATATAATATTTATTATGTTTCAAAGATACTGGAATCAAAAGAGGTGTCGGCTAAAATTAGCATATTTTTTTTTTCTATAATTGTTTGGTTGAGTCGATTTTAATATTTGGACAAGACTATAGACCAATAAAATGGAAAATAAAAAGTTAATTTTAAATTTTTTCAGAAAAATGGTCACGCCCAGATCCCATTTGTTGTTATTCAGTTTAAAATGTCCGCAGATTTGATATTTGGACAAAAACCTTATATTTGCCTTTTCTAGACATGATAAAATTTTCAAAACATGTAACTCATTTTTGAGATATTTATAGACATTTTAATTTTATTAGTTCTTTTATGTAATTTTTAGATCAAACAGAAATTCTTGAAAATTTAACAAGAAATTCATTACGAGTTATACTTAGTGTTCAATAAGAAAAAGTTGAGTTTAATGAAGTATTTTTACTTAGTAAGAATTTTAATATTAAATGTTGACGAAAATCGCTTAGAATTGTTTTTCTTTAGGGTTAATCGTTGCGTGCAGATATACATTAAATTCTCCTCTACAACCTACCTTCCCAACTTCTTACCTACAACAGTGGCCTACCTACATCGTGCGAACTGCGAATTATATCCGTCTTTTGCTTTCTTTATTTTATACCGGTAGCAACTCTAAAACAATTAATGCGCTTATTCGATTTTCTCGGCTTTTAAAAAACAAAATTTTGGCTATCTAACATTCGAAAAACAAAAATCGACGAGAATATTTTTCGGACTATAGACCTCAGTCTCGCTTTGAACCATGACCCGTCGACTATTAGTGCAGAATTATTGTTGTTAAATAAAATTTTTTTTTACGATGACGTAGACGGTACGATCTTATTAAACATTGATATTGATGCCGAATCGAAATCTTATTGATAGGGTTGTTGTTCCTTTATTGTTATGCTACACACAAATATTATTAATGATATCCAGAATTCCGAATCGATGATAATATTGTTATTGTTTCGTATGTTTTTGTATGACGTTAAAACGAGAATAAAAAACTGATTGCCGAATTTCAATTCGGAAAACACGGAAAATGATAATAACAACAATAATAATAAAATATTGGGCACGCGTTACATGGACATTATTTTATTGTTGCTATATTTACAACAACTGTATAATGTAAATGTGAACGAAATATTACTGCGCGAAATACGTAAACGGTATACGGTGTAGGTATATAAAGTGACTGTACAATATAGTAGCACTACAATAACGAGTGACAACAGCCGCGGCCTGTTGCTGTTGTGTGCCGGTATTATATTATACGTACGTGATTTTCTTTCGTTAAACGAGCTCAATTGATAAAACGAGACAGAAAAAAAAAAACCCGTCAAGTGCTGTTGTGTAGTCTGCTGTCCGTTATAAATTGGTCGCGTTGAACTAAATCCGGTTTTCTCTAGCTACCGATACGAGACTTGATACATTACAATGTAGAAAAAAAAAAAAAACAAACCCACACTCGGTACAGAAATAAAATTCCAATCGTAATATTATATTGTAAAAAATACACATATATATAAAATACATGATCGATCATCGATCACGAGAAATGTCATTATTTTATTAGACATTGGTAGGTATCTACGATACTTGACTAAAAAAAAAAAAAAAACCAAAACCAACGACGTACTCGTTATGGAATACAAATTATATTGAGATTACTTAGCATCATTAAAGTAGTATAGATACGTCATAAAATTATTGGCAAAAATACAATAATATTATTATTATTTTTTTATTATTCCATTTCAAATATTGATATTTTAATCAGCAAAAATCTTACTATCTATTGTTAAATTTTTTACGTAACTAATTTATTTTATTAATCAATTTTTTTTCTGCGATTATTACCTACTAAATAACGTCTAAAATAATAAAATAAACGAAAATATGATAAAAATTTTTTTCGAAACGCGTCATAACGACAATAATAATACTAATCACAAAATATACATAATAATTAAATAGCGAAAAAAAGCGGTCCTGATGATAATGGGGACGGGTGCAGCCACTGTTATAGGTAATTTAATGTTTATCTGTAAGCAATGATAAGCCAATGCTAACGAAAAAACGATTCTAAGCGAAGTTCGGTTGATAGTTTTGCTTTCTCAACAATATACATATATATAATATATGTCATATTATGGTCAAATAATTACACATTTTCTTTAATAATATTTGTTCAATTTTGCACCTATTTTCTCGTTTTTCCCATTTATTAAGAAAACTAATTGAAAAATCAAAAAAATGACCTCTCTAAAGTACCATCCCAGTCTAATTTCCTTTCAGAAAGAGTGCTACACTTGTAAATCGGATCAATATTTCTGGTAGAAAAGTTGTTCACAGTATATAAAAAAAAATAAACATCATTGCAATACCATAAGTTTCTTCGCTCCACTCAAAATCTAAAATAAGTTCTAAACAAAATAATATCTTTTGATTTTTTCTGTCATGATCTAGTCCATTTTCGCAGAGGTTTTAAATTTAAATTTGATTTCCATTGTTTTTAAATCGTGGTATTTTTTAAGCTTTATTTTTGAACACCGGTTTAGCTCTTACTCGTTGTACCACCTTACACGAATGTTAACATTTGATTTTCAAATGACAACCCTCTGTTAATGGGGTAAATTAACCCATTAAACAAATTAATATGTTCAACAAAGATGCGAAGAAAAAATGTTACACGCCTAATACTATAATAATACTGGATATAATAGGTACACCGTTTATAGTTACGATTAAAATTAAAACCTCACATAGCAGAAGTAGAGAATGGAAATAATATTTCATACCCATTTTTTAATAGTGAACCCTTCCATACGCCTTCGTTTTAAATTTTAAACGGTCTGGAAACATATTCTCCAATTGAATCTGATAGTAAAAGGAGCCGTGATTTGAAAATCAAAAGATGATATTATGCGTTTATGGTGTAGAAGAAATAATGATAAAATTAAAAAAAACATGTACATAGTAAATACAATTCTACATATTTAATAACTTATAACGACTAAAATAAATTTTTCACATTTTTGTAAATCATCTTAACAAAATCACCTTGTATATTTGACATAGAAAATAATAATATCGAGACTTGTCTAAATCTGTGACAAGGCATTTCTATTTTTTTTTTTTTTTTTTGGCCTCTTGTCATGTCATTAACAGATTGGAACAAGAATATAATCATTAGTCATCACTCACGGCGGAGTTGTGCACAATATTATATACGCAATCGGCGTGCGAAAATACAAAATTACGTGAAAATGTTCCCCGACATATTTTATTTAGGTTAAGTTTAATTACTCTAGAGTTTCAAAAACACACACACACACACACAAAAAAAAGTACTATTAATACAAATCATAAATTAACTATGAACATTTACAGTTAGCTATTTAAGGGTTTACGCAAAGGAAAAATAAAAGTAAAAGGACCATCTGTACGAACGAACTTTGATTCACAAACCTGCGACAAGGAACCTATATAGTAACTGAAATATGTAAGCAGACATAAAAAAAGATAACAGAAGATAGAAAATTACGGCGAGAAGAGTACACTAGTGAAATGAGGCCATGTTCAGTTTCCTAGTGAAATATCACTAGGAAACTGAAATACCTATAAAAAAAAAAGATTATATCTGAATAATGTAATTTCTATACATCGTCGTTTTTTTTTTTCAAACAATGACGGTATTTACTATTGGAATAATAATTCTCACTTAGTTGAACATACAACAGAATAAGTAGACTAAATATTATATAAATTCGTTAAAAAAATTAGATATCATAAATAACAGAGAATATCACAAATAATATCCAATATTGTTTATTTATTTAGATATTTACATTATTTTTGTTTGAAAATAAAAACAAATAAGGTTTTTTTTGTTATTAAACAATGCTTAAATAAAAACAAAACACATAATAAGTACCTTTAAAGAATAATGTATTGTTTTATGACGATACTTAACAAATAATAATAATAAAGTAACGAGTAAAGTAAGCTACACTATCAATACACGTTTGTAGAGATATTTGAAAAAAATAATTCTTATTAATCAATCATTATAACAATATTTTATAATTAGATTGTGGATAGTAAAATTATGAGTTTTCAATACGTCTGTTAATTAAACTAATAATTATTAATATAACAATTTTTGAATGGATCCATTGTATTTATAGATAATTCAAATTGAACATAAGCTAGCTAACTAATAGCTGTTCTACATACACACTGTTATCATTATGGTTTAAACTTCAAATTAGCCTTAAAAATGGCCACGAAAGTACACACAAATATGTGCATATAATAAAAAAAACATTTAGGTGCCTATGTTATTTTTATAATTATCTTGGTTTCGGGTTTTGAATTGTTTTCAAATTTAAAGTGTAACCGCCACACTTTCTTTCGGTTAGCAAAACAACTCTTAGATTTTTATACACCGTACCTTAAGAAACCCCGATATTCCGCCCTGCGATTTTTTAAATTGAAACATCTATCTACATCTAACATCTATACAATATTAAAAAAACGGGTATATTTCGACCAAAACCGTACCCTTCCTTCCCTTTTCGGCCGATTCAATTCACTTAATATAGTAATAACATTTTTAGGTATTATTTGAAAATCTAGTGAACCAGACTTACTGACAAAGTCAAACAAAATATAATATTTTTAGTTATAAATAGGTGTAATAAAATATAATAAAATAAATAAATGAATGAATGTATCGCCTTGAGTATTATGAAAATGTATCATAGTCAAAATGTAAAACGCGACTGAATATAAAAAATTAAATGAAGGAATATATAGAAATAATTTATTTTAATAGTAGAGATTATTTAAAATTAGTTATTATTAGACATAGATATGTTTGGTTATTATTTATTATCTAAAATGTATTGATATAAGATATTATTTTTAAAATCGGTTTGAAAATTTATAATATTATCAAAATTATTTTCCTTTATTTCATTGTGTGTGTGTAATTATTCTAAAACTGAATTAATGTAAATATTATTTTGGGTATTCAAAACTTATACTATTGTTTTAACCATAATATAAGTTCTAATATTAATACAGACTTAGAAATATTAAATACCCAAAATAATATTATTATATTAAACCTAACCCTATAATATTCTAACTCCCCTCGATTACAATAGTACCCTACGGCAGATATGGTCAGTAATATGTCTGAGGTATAGGCAAATATAAAAACATTGCAAAATGCAACTGTTTTAACATTTTATAGAGCTGAAAAATGATTAACGAATTTTCCGCAGTGTAATTTTATTTTTAAAAACATTAAGATTTCAATTATACTTGTAAATTCCATAATAATCGTCCCATTAAAAATATTCGTCTGCGATATAACAAATCCCGGAAACATCAGGAACCGCAAATGTCGCGATCTGTTGGAGCGTTAAAATATTATGTCCCGCAGTATACATTTACTTAAAATATTTTGTTCGCGATGTTTTGTACATAATATTTAAATATCATTATAATTATACACTTTCGATTAATTTTTCCGCAACGAACCGAGCGCGAAATGCTTGATTTGTTTGTAATATACATGAAGGCGGGTTTACACGCTACTAGTCATATTGATTCAACTATATTCTGTTTCGGTTTAATTCGGTTTTTAACGATATAATAAAAACACTAATGCGTTTTTTTACTATGTTTGCCTAGTGTGGATGCATCAGCAGCTTTTGGGGAAAAACAGGAAAATTTCCACCGTAGTTCAGACATATTGGCAAAAATAAAAAATACCACTGTGATCAAAGTGTAAAATCTTGTCGCGTTCAACCTCACAAAAAAATCGATTCCAATCATGGATTACATTTCGATTTGCAGCGGTATACACAGTCAGTTTTACGATTTGTCATAGGTATTCAATAAAAGCGTACAATAAGTCGATGCGTAACAATAATCCCGCTGTGGGTCAGTGGAAAATATTTCAGAATTTAGTATTTTTTGTAAGTAATACAACTCAACGATCAAAGTTTATTTGACGAATCCATATTCAAAGTCTAGTAGATTTTATTACATCATTTAAATTCTGAGGCTATATATGATGAAACAACAATTGTATGTATTATTATGATACTGTGTAGTGTTTATATTATTGTATTATCCGTTGTACACAATGTTTAAAAATGTGTTCCTACAAAATGAAGACTGCAAAAGAAAAAAAATATATACTTATGTATTATTAATAATAGCAATGTACTCACAGTTACTCGGTCGAAATATAGGTATGAAAATACTTAAAAAATTCAAAAATAATACATTTTAAACATAAACACGTCGGATAATTACTATTATTTAATATTTTATCATTGAGGAGCAATAATTCACATTCGCCCCAAAGTATAAGGCCGATTAATTATTTTGAATTATTATTATTATTATTTAATCTACGGGCAATAAACACCAGACATTTTTATGAGTATTTATAATAAATTATAAAATTATAATATATATAGAAATGAAGATAATTTTTAGGTATAAATATTTTCATTTTATTTTATTTTATTAACTGCAGGCAGGGCTATATTATAGTAATTATTTTAGAACGATTTTTTTTTTTTTTAAAACATTTTCGGTTATCGATCAAAACGATCCATCGCGCGATGTTTTAAAAAGATTATTTTTCAAAATGGTCAGTACAATCCATAGCTAGTATAAAAAAAAAGAAAAAAAAGAGAGGAAGTGGTTATTGTATGTATAAACATAAGAAATGGCAAATTTGTGTTCAACAGACCAATTTTGTGGAATTGACCATTACCAAACCTATTATGTAGGTAAAAACACTATCTGTGTTTGTACATCAGCTTTTTTTTTCAATATATATTATCTTTTAAAATCCATGTGAAGTTTTTCATTTTTGAAAATAGCTAAATGATTTATTGTTTTGAAACAAAAAAAAAAAGGATCATAGTGCTCTTAAACATAATACTCTTCTTTTCCAATATCGTTATTCACATTTAAACTCTTAATTTCAACCTATACTCCACAATTTGTATTTCAAGTTCCGTTTAATAACGTTTGGAATGCAATACTAATGTCGTGTCCAAATTAAATAAAAACCATAATACACGAACATCAGGTATATTATTTCGAGTCAACCTAAGTGCTCAACACCAGCAAGAACTCTATTTTACACACGAGTGCAGCTAAAGTTGAATTTTCTTTCCGTTGACTTATTACAATATTCTACGAGTTGTTTTTTTATTACACGATAAGAAATAATGTGTCAAAATAAGTAAAGTAGGTACCTCCCTATAGTTTTCGAGATTTTTGATAAAATATTAACGGTTGGGACGGGGGCAGGAAGATGAAAACTTCTAATGGCACATCTTCGACAACAGTTCATCATTTCAATCCACCTATACAAAAAATTCTCGAGTTTGAGCTCTTTTGGTCCAGAGGAAGCCGCTAAAAGTGTCCAAATGTATCAGGAAAAAGACACAATGCAGTGACAATGGTCTCTATTTTCGGGGAAAATTCGATAAAAACAACAAATATAATATGGTCGATTTTTGTACTATTGCACAATAAAGTGCTAAATTATACAATTAAGAAAATGTATTCTGCCTACAATATAATATTGCTTGACCTAACACAGTGTAAATAACAATAACAACAATAGGTACTAAATACAATTATGTACAAACATAATAGGTACATTATTATTTACTCACTTAATTTGTTTAAATCATAATCGCTATTTAATTTATTATAATAATAATTATAATTTGTAATAAAATGTCAATAATTCGATACGGAGTAATATCATAATATTATACATACTCTAAGGTCTATATACAAAATCGTTAATATTATTTTATATTCGGTAACCCGAGAAGTCTTCGCAACAGCGGCGCCAGTTTATAATGCATATATTATCGAACCGTGACAATTTTTTTAACATAACATAACAATTAAACAAAATGTATATATATAACAAATTTTCTTCGAGGTATTATAAACACATACATAATTACAATAAACATTTGCGAAATATTATCGACAATACGATTAAAAAAGATTATTAAAAATAGTCGAAACTGGACGAACGACAAATACACCATAATATAACATTTTTATTTTAGAGTTGAGAGTTCAACGACTTCGACGACGGGTACCTATTATAATATTATTGCTACAATATTCCTTGAAATAATGTCACGCAATTAACGAATAACGTTGAACTTTTGCCATGGTATCCAAACTATGTTTAAAAGATTACAATTTTAAGTGTTGTCGAACGCGGTATTTTAAGTACGTACAGTGTTACCCTTTTCCGTATATTGCATTAGGAAAAAATAAAAAAACAGTACAGCCAAACTGGACAATCTGATGGCGTGCCGCCTGAAACGAAATATCATCCGTGATAAATCGTGATAATTATTCGCGATGATAAAATAATATAGTCACTCGAAAACTACTACAGGAATGTTTTTTAAATCCTACCCAGATTAGATAAGATAACTTTGAATAAGTTGTAACTACCGAGTAGATGGAAATTTCGACATAAATGCAAAAGTGTACTTAATAATTTATTTGCTGATTTTGTTTTGTGTACTTGAATTATTGCTGGCACGTCGTAAAATGGCGACCACAGAAAAAACGACGTCTATGAATAGTAAGAATATTATTTCAAAAAAATATTATTCTAATCCTTATTTTCATGTTTTATTTAGTCTAAAGTTCACACAATATTTTTATCAATTTCATAAAACAAATTCTATTATCTATAACAATTTATTATTGAACTAGTGAACATTGCACGATAGCTTGTAAAATCCTTTCCACTATCTATAAATTTAAATTGATGATATTGCACAACCGAAGTACCTATCTACCAATAGAAATCGTTTGTTAAACACATTAAAAATTTATCAGCTGTGAAATATCTATATTTATATATACTATTAAACTCAATATATTGACACATTATTCATTTCGGCTTTTAGTTAACAGTTTGACTCGTCTTAATACATATCCTTTTTAGAACAGAAATGAAGGCAGACCAATTAATTGGAGTGATTAATGTTGAATCACACAGTGTTAATTTCTCAGTACTCAACGACAACGCAAATGTTTTGGCAGAAGCATCCAAATCTGTTGATCTCATTGAACCGCATCCTAAATGGGTTGAAGTAGATGCTGAAGCTATTTGGGACGCTTTATGTGCGACTATTGACGAGGTAATAGAACAATTAAAATTTAAAAATATATCTAAAGATTATATTAAAGTAATTGGAATTATAAACGAAAGAGAAACTGTATTAGCATGGGATTCAGAATCAAATAAACCACTCTATAATGCAATCCATTACACTGATACTCGTACTGATATTATTATTGAAGAATACAAATCGAGAAGTCCTAACATATTTAAAGAAATTGAAGAGACATCCGGTTTAAAAGTAACATCCATATTTAGTGGAGCTAAATTAAAGTGGATAATAAACAATAATATAAAATACTTTAAAACTTCTGAAACGATTAGATTTGGAACATTAGATACTTGGATAGTATGGAAACTTACAGAAGGTAACTTATATATAACCGATGTAACAAATGCTTCTCGTACACTGTTGATGAATTTAAAAACCTTAAAATGGTCTCCAGAAGCATGTAAAGTTTTTAATATTCCAATATCTTTACTACCAGAAATCAAAAGTTCTTCTGAAAAGTACGGAATTATTGAAGAGACCCGTTTAAAAGGTATATCAATAGGATCCATATTCGCTAATCATCAAGCTGCTTTGTATGGAATGAATCTCCAAAAACCTGGTCAAATAATGAGTAGATATGGTGATAGTTGTACTGTATCTTGTATAACTGGAACAGAGTTAATTAATTCTAAATATGGGTTATTAACAACAATAGCATACAAAATTGGTAATGAACCTACAGTTTATGCTTTTGAAGGTTGGACATCAGTCGGTGGAAAAGCAATAGATTGGCTAAAACATAATATGAATATTATTAACAGCCATGAAGAAATAGTATCGTTAAACATAGATGTTAGTGACGTATATTTTGTCCCAGCTTTTAATGGATTAGGAGCACCTTATTGGGAACCACAAGCCAAAGGCATTATATGTGGAATGACTCATTATACTAACAAAAAACATTTAATTAGAGCTGCCCTTGAAGCATTATGTTTCCATACGAAAGACGTGTGTGTTTCATTTAAAAGTGATATGGGTATAGATCCTTGTCAGTTATTTGTAGATGGTCCGTATTCTGTTTACAATAATCTACTAAGTTATCAAGCCGATATTTTAGGAATAGATGTAATACGATCACCAATCATCGATATGGCAGTACATGGTTCAGCTAAAGCGGCTGCAGTAGCCATAAATGTTAAATTTGAAAATCATGAATGGATACCACATATTACCAAACCAACAACAACAAAGCAAGAACAGACATATCGGCATATAAAATGGTTAAAAGCAGTAAAACGAAGTATCGGGTTGATAGAAACAAAATCACAAGAAACACAAAATATAACTAGGTATGATATTTTAAGTTCAAGCTTTCTGTCTACAGCATATCTATTAGCTTGGGTATGCTTGATAGCTGTTTCCAATAAAAATTAAACTTTAAAACTGTACATTTATTTATTCTATAGTGAGTTATTAAAATTTATTATTATTATTTTTTAATATTTATTAACGTTTCAACATATTTATGATATTATATATTATAAGTCAATAATTTTTTAATGTTTAAAATAAAATAAAACAAGAATATCTAAATACATTTCTTTTTACAAGGTTCCAAGATTTAAATTATAATCAGAATTTATTATAGTTATAGATAATATAATATAATAATATTTAAAAATATTTTTGTGAGATAGTATTAAGAATTAAAATAATAATTTACTTGTATTTTACTTTAAAAACCTAACCTATCATTAAGTATTTATTATAAAGTAATATTTATTGTTGAGTAATATACATAAAATATTTATGTTTTTAGTATATTAATATTGATAGTATTAAGTATTAATATCAATTTGTTTATACAATATTATGGTCAATAATTAATTGCAAAACTAAAAGGCGAAAATAAAAAAAATCTAGAAGCATATTTTGTATTTTTCTCAATTTAGATAATTATTAGTTATTGGCAATTTTTAACCAAGTTATTTTTTTTTACTCGGTAAAATTATTGTTGTAGACAAGGTTTGAAAAATTCTTATTACTTGGGTAAATGAGTTTTATTGAAAATTTTCATTTTAATTACAATTTTATTAATTAGGTACCTTCCTATAATATTATGGTTTTCTTTATGATACGTACAAATTAAAATATTATAAAAGTAAAATTAGTTTTAATTATAAGTACTTGTTGTTTAGTTAGTTAATTTTTTTTTTCTGGTTCAAGTAAAAATATGTTCATTCATAAAAATTATTTTTATTGATTAGTTTATAATAGCCAATGCATAGGTCATATTTTAAGCAAATGTGTGATTATATTAAATTCAGTTATACAATGTTCTTATATTGTTTCATCAAATAATTAAAAAAAGTTGTTTTATAATTTAATTATATAGATAATATATGTATATATATTAGCAGAGCTTTACTTCAGCATCACCCGTAGTACTGGCCCACACATGGGATATCTGAATTAATCTCAGAATATGTTATGTATAGGTTGCCAATAACAACTATTAATTATTTTTTCCAGAAAACAATGTCAAAAATAAATTTTTACTAACAAAATAATATTCATGAAAATCCATAACTTTAAATACCTACCCAAGCATAATTAATAAATTTAGATACAGTTTAGCACAAAACAATATATGAACATACTTGCATTAAGTATTATAGTATCAATATTCTCTATATCTTAACAGTTAGGTACCTAAAATAATAATTAATGTTTGAATAAAATCTATAAAGGTTGTAGACAGGCATTGTTTTACCATGACAAGTGATTGGATACAACAGGTAGATTAATTATAGAAGTTTATAAAATTGTATTTTTCTTAGATAACCTTTGAACATATTACATTTTTTTATTTATTTAATTTCATTAATTTTATTATTTGTATCATTGACTTAAAAGTTAAAACTAAATAACTAGACAGGTACCATATTATTTTATAAGTAGAAAGATAGATCATTATTCAGTCTGTATAAATTAAAAATTGAAATTAATTATTACTAAAAAAATATTTAGAGTTAAATGGTGGTAATATATTTATGCATATTAAAACGATAATTTACATGGCTCACTGAATTTAACAAGGTAATAGGTATGAAACAAATCAATTTTTCAGTAAATGTTTTAAACACAAGTTAGGGGTACAACTATTATTAGTACATAAATACATAAATAAATAAATAAATTAACTACATAAATAAATTAAAGTTATATTTTACAAAAATGTATTTAATTTGTAAATAGGTATTTTATAATTGTAAACAGAAAAGAAATGTCAAGGTCTGGTTCAGACACCTAATGGATCTTCCAAGCATAAAATTAATGTTATGTAAACTGATATAAGATAATATCTCAATGATATTTTATTAAATAAGTACTAATTTTTTTTCTTTTAACTTACACTTTTATAACATTTAATTTCACAAAAATAATCTGTTAAACATTTGAGGGAATCATTTTATTTTGATACCGTTTAATACCATTACAATAAACATTGAATAGTAAACATACTAAATTTAGACTTAGTAGGTGTTTAACAAACAGTGTGCCCGTCTATTACAAAAATTAAACTTTTTATTTTTGCATAATATTTTATAATACTAAATATAATTTAATTTTAAAAATCATGTACGCTGTATGCATGTTGGTGTTTGCATACAGGTACATCGACAGTTATTTCTATTTCTTATAGATCATATTCTAAAAAATATAGAACCCTCGTAGACTCGTTGTGTACTCGGATATGTAGTAGATTTGGCATATTATTCTGCCACTTGCCTAGTGTTTATTATTTCAATTTGGCGAATTTATTGAATAGTTTATGAATTCTACATTTATAATAAATAAAAATATCTTAAATATAATACCTAAACAATTCATAAAAACTTAAGAAACTTCGATTTTTTGTACACGTTTACATCCCTTGGCCAATTTTCCCCATTTCAAACACTGTACATTTAAATTTATACTTAATAAATTAAAAATATGTGGATAATAACCAGACAAATGTTTATGGTAAGTACCTAGTTAGTAAGAAACTAGGTACCTACTTATCAATTTGAATTATTAAACAATTCTAGATAATTCAACAGTGGCTCTAGTCGAACACCGAAGTGTTCAGAGGGTTCACAGGGACATGATGTGGAAATCATGTGGTGCCAATTTAATAATAAATCAATAAATATAATAACCAAAATCTTACCTTCCGGAAAAGCCTGGTCGCTGAGTATATATTGGATAAACTTATTGGTGATGAAATACAAGTGTCCCATTCCGGCAGCTTGGAATTTAGTGGAACTGACGTAAGCCGTGGAAATGTTGGGGTTGCTGAACTGCACTTGTTCGTACGGCATGACGTTGTGTAAATGTTCGGGGACGCCTTCCATGAGCCGGAGCTGCGGTTTGGGCTTGGCGAAGTTCTTTAGCCAGTTGCCATCAGACCGTGTGGCTAACTGGAACAGCAGGGCCGCGTACACCAGCCACCGGCCACCGAACTTACCGGACATGGTGGTTAATGCACTGACAACGAATTGGCACGCACGCGGCTACCGTATTCTGGGTCCGTTTGGTTCACAAAAAATACATATTGGAATCGCGCCAGCTATTATCTACACGGGATCTACGGAAACGACAATATTTTCGTTTAAATTGCCAAAATATTGATACAAAAGAGACTACGGAGGGATATCAGCTGTGGGACCGTGGGGGATACAGTGACGACAAGCGAACAGGTAAACAAAGGAATACTATTATTCACGAACGCGGTAACGCACTCTAGCGGACACGGACAGACGTTTGTTACGGCAATGACAATAATTTATTATGGTCAATTATGACGGCCGAACTGCGATAGAAAAATCGAACGGAAAACGCTTTTTGGTCACAGTGAAACAGAAAAAAAAAAAAAAATCCAGAAATATTATCACGATAGACAAACGCGACAGCGGCTTGCGGTTGGGCGCCGATGTCAACGGTCTCGCGTGATTGTCAAACGTTTTTGAGCGTACGACTACTGCACGCTGAGCACGGGCACACGGTAGCAGCACGCGATCTCGGTCCCGGTGTCCGTGCTACGAAAACAAATAAACAACACTGTCTGTCTGTCTAGGATATTATCGAATCGTATATCGCGTTGCGCGGAACAGGTTGTCAGCCCACGGACGGTGGTGGGGGCGCGTGATGGGGAGCATGCGGCGGGGCCCGGTCGATACGGACGACTGGAGCACAGCGTAGCGGTCCGACTTTGTCCTTCTCGCCGTCGTCATCCGCATCGAAACGGGCATAGCTCGGCGCGCGGCGGCGGAGGCAGAGTGTACATTCAGCTCGTCCACCGAATTTCCCCCTCAGCGGTCTCGGCCGTACGAAATGGGCCAAGGTTATATTATTATCCACGGCGGATTGTTTTCCCTTAGCTACACCGCCGTGCACCGATCTTTTGCAAAATGCGAGGGGGCGGTCGCAACTCGCAGCTTTGGTACTCGCCGTGCGCCGGGCGCAATCGATGGTGCGGCCGACGTCTGTGCGTGCGTTCCCGTATAATGTACACACGAAATATAATTTTATCGATGGCCAAGACGCCGAAAGTCACGCGTCCCCTTTCTCCCGAACTCACCTGTTCTATACGCACTGTATTCGGTTTACCTTTCGATTCGACGATACAATTATAGTATTACTAAAAATTATTCCTTTTGTTTTTTTTTTAGCCAGATAAGAATACGATATAAATTGTGCTTGTTGTAACATACATACCATAATTTATGAGTAAATGACAAGCAAAATTGTTTAAAGAACTAACTAATTGCCACTTATCTCGAGTCTTTATTTTATTAACAAAACAAAATCAAAATTACCTACTTAATAAAAAAAAAAAAATTGTGAAAGTAATATAATAGTCCTTAGAGCGCAATTTACTATAGAATAATAGAATCGTTGAAAATATCAAAAAACTGAAGAGCAGGCACGTATTAAGGGAGAGCAGTGTGGGCGATTGCTCCCCCAAAGCCTATATCATAGTTTATCCTCTAAATCGTTCGTTTCAAACGAAAACGATTCTGATCGAAGTTGAATATTGTATTCGAATTAGTTTAGCTGGAACATACATTTTACGGAACAATTTATGAAACATCTATAGGAATATTGTTATTTTTAATTTTTTTAATAAAACATATAAGAAAATTATAACGTAAAATTATATATATTTGGAAAATGTAGGTACGTTGAAATAAACAACACATGGAAATATACGCTTTTGAACATGCAATGAATGCAAATAAACAGTGTTAAACAGATATTTCATGGAACCAAATAATTAATAATAATTAACAGTGTTGTAAACAACTTTTCTACCAAAACCATTCCTCCGATCATAAGACGACAAGACACCATATTTATACAAAATGTTGTCTAGTGGATGTATTACGGAAGTCATTTTATTGATTTTCCGTGCAGTTTTCTTAATAACTGAAAATACAATGATAATAATTATCATTGGAATTATTCTAATAAATGTCTGTTTAAAACATTGAAATTCCAACAATTGTCTGTTCCATATAATATATTATTTACATTAAATTTGATTCCACTATATAATATTTCAAAAATAATTTTTCCAAATACTGTATGTTTCATTTGATTCCTTTAAACATCTGTTCTACGTAAAATAACTTCTATAAAATACAACATACTACGGAATTTGATGAAAGTCTATAAAAATAAAGTGGTGATGTAAATTATGAGTTATGAAATTATGCCCAATTTTATTTTTTTTTTCAAATTTTTAAATATTTTTACAGATCTAACGGTTTTTATAAAAGCAAAAAAAATTCGAATATTTTTAATACTTCGAAATGTTACAACTAGGGTTAACTAGTTATTTTATATACTTACCTAGTTATATAGTATTAGTATATAAGTAAATAACTTAAATAGCATCAAAATATTGTGAAATATACTACCATCTAGAAAATAGTAATATCAGTTGGTATTTGGTCGACATTTTAGATCTCTGTGATTTTTGTAACTAATTACAAATTTACAACACAAAATCTAAATAAATATAATAGAAGTCGTTGTTGCATAAATATTCCCTTTTTTCCATCAAGAAAAAAAAAAGCTATCCTAAGATAGGATAGGATAAAACGTGTGCAGTCACTCAGGACTGTCCTTATAATTTGCGGTGCCTAGGGCATAGATCTTTTGGCAGGGCCTAAAAATAAATGTGATGCTTTCCACACAAAAGAAATTCACATCACTAGTATTGACTAATCGAACAGTCTACATGTAGACTACATTTATAACTTCTTCTAGGTTGTATTTATATATTTAAAAAAAAAATGATATTTTTATGGTTATTACTTATTATAACTAAAAAACAAATAATAAAACAGATAACACATTATTATGTACAAATTTTAAATTTAGAAATTTCCTCATTCCTCATTATCATTCCACGAAAACTGCTTGATAACAATAATATTAAATAATAATTTGTTTAGCACACTATATAGAGGATTTTTAGTTTTTATCATAACAGTGTATACTGTACAAGTATTTTTGTTTTTAATATTGTCAAATAAAAATTTAAATTAAAGACAACTTTCTCCGCAATTTAAATAAGTAAATTTGGTTTTTAAGTACTATATTGTTAGCACTATATTTGTATTATACATTTACATAACTCGCACAGAGCCTCGCTCGCTCTGGCCTTAGGACGGCCCTGCAGCCACTGTTGTAGGTGGGAAATTGGGAAGGTAGGATATAGACAAGAATTTTAAGTATATCTATACGCAACGAAAAATCATCGCTAACGAAAATACGATTCTGAGCGGAATTCGGTTGATAGTGTTGTGCTTTATCAATAATGTATAATATTTCATATTATGGTAAAATAATTACACATACATTAAACGTTTTATTTAATAATATTTATTTAACATTGTACCTATTTTCCAGTTTTTTCCAATTTATTGGGAAAATAAAAAAAAGGACTTATCTAAAGTACCTCTCCAATCAGATTTCCTTTCGGAAATAATGCTATCATTATAAATCTAATCAAAATTACTGGTAGAAAAATTGTTCAGTTAGAAAAAAAAAAAACAATAAATTAACATTGTAAAACAAATACAATTTTTGCTTTTCTCATAATCTATAATTACAAGGAATATCATAAAAAATGATTTACCTGACGTACCAAATGACAACATTTTCTACTAGAAACCACCCATAGGTTGATGATTTTTGATATACAAGTCGTATAGGCAGACAAAATAAAAAAAAAAAAAAAAATTGTAAAAATGTACACGTAATAGTTAAACTGATAATGTACATTCCTCGCTTCGTTTAGAATCTAAAAGACATTTTTAACCAAATTTTACAATTTTGACGAACCAAAATGTTATTAATTGACCATACAGAATTGAGGTCAAAAACCAAATCCTATACTAAAAACTATATAATATAAAGATTTCTTTATAAATATCTCAGCATGATGACCTTAGTGCTTAGATTGAAATATTGTTTTTTGTAATACCTTATTAAGGAGTACTTCAATACGCATTTTAAATTATTATTTATTCGCTTTTTCGGGATACACACCCGCACAATAAAATTGACCTAATATTGTTTTAACACTAAATTCGAATAGATTTATTTTTCCAGGCAACTTTTTGATGTATACAATGTTTTACAGGGCTTACCGTTTCTAGGGCACCTTTCACAGAAAACCACATTTCAATCTAAGATTATCAGGTTGAGATATTAAGTGTATAAAAAACGGGCCACACAGTATATTATTTTGACTATTCATAAAATTATAAATTGCCTTCCCTTCTCCTAATATAAGTGCCTGGTGAAGATTTTCTATAACAATAGTAATAATACAATATTACCAATCGAAAACTCAATAGATAATAATTATACTATACAAGTCACTTATATCGTACGAACACACGTTATTACTATCTACTACATGGTTTAAAACAAGTTTATAGACTGTAGGCCAGCATACATATTACTTCTATAGCAAGTATCTCCAAAACACTTTCAAATATTACTGTTATGTATAGCAGTAGGTAAAAAAAATGACAATATAAGAGGGTCAAGAACCCGTGTTGGGCACTGACAAAACTAAACTGAAAAAAAAAACTAAAACAATAGGTACATTTTTATTGCAGCTTTAGACTGTTAGCGATTTTATAATTTTAATCTAGATATTCGTTGAAAAATATCTTGAATACATTCAACTACAAAGGCTAAAATTAATAAATTTAATATTAAATAGGTAGGTAGATGATACTTGGATTGTTTTTGATTCTGAGCGTCGCGAGGGATGTATTGGTTTTACTTTGATGCTTTTTTTGTTTTGTCTGCAATAAACAACTTTTCTACCAGATGTTTTCAGAGATCATTACAATTCATCATTAAGAGTATCCGAGTATATCTGGGCCAAATTAGAAATGTCCTCACGTACGGTACACATATGTATATGTTGGTCACCACCGATCAATATAATTTGTATATATTTTGTTTTGTTTCAAGTTTAACAGCCTGTAGGCTGGATGGTATTAACTCTCCATTATTCCCGCATTTCTGCTTTCTTTTTAGCATACAGTATATAATCTGCGGTTCATGGCCCTAATTATCTGGGTGTTATTTGAGATTTTTTCCTTCCACTAGTTATAAAACTGTTTTATAATATCTGTATTATATTATTATTCTATTGTGCATGCTCACGTGCCTATATACCAACGTACATCAATCTACAATAGGTCGGAAAAATTAAAGGTCAAGCCGAAATTTTTAGAAATACTTTGGCCGAATAATTTCTATTAATATTTTAATTTCTTAGTTAGTTATTAATGGTTAAAATTAAGAGAAATTAAGTTAAAATAAAATATGAAAATATTAAAAAAAATTGTTCAGTCAAGGCATATTAAATACTCGTATTTATAAATTGTATAATAGGACCCTTCGCCCTAAACTCAACTAGAGAGTCGCAAAAATTGAAATGCGGAATGTATATTTTGGTGGTAATATATTACGCGTGATAGAGAAAACAAATTATCTGTGTAGAGGTCTCCTTAAGAACATAATAATAAATAAATAGAAAAATAATGAAAGAGATTTATACAGACGATATTGGTTAGGTATGTAAC